CTGCTATGAAAGCCTTCCTTATGAATAGAGTTGGTGATCTAGGTCTATCCTAGGGTATCTAGTTGGCTATCGGTATGCCATACCGTCCCACACTTCCGCGAACTAAAGCTTCCATATAAACACGCCCTTCTTCAGTAAACTCCCTCCAAAATCGGCACTCAGCAGTTCACCGCTGTGTTCAATCATGACCGATTTTAGCGAAGAAAGGACGGCTCCAAGTCTTCACCCTCCACTCTGACGCGTGAAGGCTGACGACACCACAATCAGTATAAACTCGATGGGTGTCGGAAATTGCGAACAGCAGCCAGCTTGCGGTCTTGAAAGTGTGGTGGACTTTGGTCCGCTTTCTTTCCTTTGTGAACGGAGTGTCTATCTTCTATTCAATCCTCATCATCCTCGACGTTATTACCACAAACTACAACACATCATCATGTCTTCATCAAATGTCTCAGCAATGTCGCTCAAGTCTGGCACCCTCTCCAAGAAATTAAAAGACCCTGCTCCATTTGTGTTGAGTGACGACGACTGTGAGGACCCACCACCACCGTCCCGGCCTCGTCAAGGCACCTGGCTGACATCTGGCGACTTGTTGACTTTCTGCCATCAAGATCTCCACCCCCCTACCCTATGCCCGCTCCCGCCCACATACAACACCCACCAACTTTACCCGCCACACTCCTCCTCATAAACCCCCTGGCCCCTACTACCATCCTTACCGTCCCCCGCGCATATAAAAGGGTGCCTTTTCGCCCGAAATCTCCAGAAAGCAAGTACGAGAAAATGGCCCAGACCCTCCTCCCCCCCCTCGCCCAACCCACCTCCCAACCACTCACCACCCAACCCGCCCCCCATACCTCGCCACCCAATCCGCCCTCCCATCCCTCCCCGCCAGGCGAGGCCTTGACGCATTGGGACCCCCAGCTCGAGTCGTGGGTGGTGCCCGGGGAGTGGTCCCTAAACTCTTTCGAGCGCCCTCCTTCCTTCCCCCCCCAACATCGGCCGGATCGCTCTCCCCGCCGCCACCCCCGTTGGGGTGGTCATGGACTATGGCAGCAACATGGTGTATATATATTATCGTTATTGAATATAGTTTCTTTTTGAACATGACCGCGCGTCCTTTTCTCTGTTCAGCTGGACTCATTTCTCTATCCATACACAAATGTTAGACGGGGATAAGGGGACCAAAAGAGGAGGGGCGGGCGTGGTGGTGGAAAGAGGGGGAAGGCTCCAGGAGTCAACCCACCCGCCGTCAATCACGCCGGCATCAACAACCCCCCCGCCAAAAACATACCCGCCGCCACCGACACCCAAAGAATGGATCCGGCCGTCAATCTGGTGGGTAAATTCTTTATACCTCCTCCGTGAACACGTTCTCTAAAATTCTTCTCGGTATTTTAATAGAGACCGTTGCGTTGATGGCATTGTAGTATTTGTATTTTAAGAAGTTTGTTCTTTTCAGTGCATTGAGATTAATCATGCTTTTAACTTTTGTTTTGGTCCATATGCTCTCTGATACACGCGCAAAAATCTAATTCTGAACTGTAAAGTTTGTTACTTTAATTTGTCGGAACTCTTTCTTCCTCTTCTTAGTCTTTCTATCTCCATTTTGGCTTCGTTACGTGTCGAAGGTACGGGTGTGGACACGCGCAGTGGGTGAGCCGCGCTTTGCTGATGCTTTTGGGACAGCAAGTGAGTAGCTGCGGTTGGGAGTGCGAGACGCACTTTTTTATTTGTGAAGCATCGAGATAAAGAGATGGATAAAACTTGAACAGGAGTAAAATGAGCGTCATTTAACAAGTATGTGTT